TACACACACACACACACACACACACACACACGGGCTGCAAAAAAGACAAAACGCAGTTGGCGAGTCACCTTAGTAAAAAGTGTGGCAACTGCTGTTTTATGCTCAGCTGGAGCCACAAGGCCACTCAGGATGCGTCTTCACTGCAGCTGCAAGGTGTGATTTGCAGCCTGGATAGACAGACTCACACTACTGCACTAAAAATAGCAGTGTGGATGCAGCAGGATGGGCGGCAGCTCAGACTAGTCACCGAAGCTTGAACCTAAGGGATCAGGTGGGCTCGACTTCAGTGGCTAGCTTGAGCCACCACCCATGTTCCAACATCCACATTGAGCTAGTGCAAGTCTGTCTACTTGCATCGGGACTCATATTTCCAGCTGCAGCGTAGACATCTTCAGAGCCCACAGGCAGCCCCAATGGATGCTGCTGGCCAAGAGAATCCAAACTGGAGTTCACTGGGCATATGCACACCACCAGTAAATATTTAGGAACAAGCACTTGAACAAGTTTTGTTTGCAATGTATTCAGCTTTGCAATCCTGAATTAAAGAAGAAACCAAATTTGAACACACTGGATATTCTTGGGCTAACCCTGAAGTCCACAGGAGTAAGTGTTTCTACTTGGATTTAAGTCAACAGTTGCCTCAGTCAGGACTTTATGATTAAGCCTCTTTTTCCCATTGTGTACTTGTTTAAAAGTTGTCAAAACAGGTATACCTCTACCCCGATAGAACGCGGTCCTCGGGAGCCAAAAAAATCTTACCGCGTTATAGGTGAAGCCACATTATATCGAACTTGCTTTGATCCGTCAGTGCGCAGCCCCGCCCCCCCGGAGCGCTGCTTTACCGCGTTATATCCGAACTCGTGTTATATCGGGTCATGTTATATCGTGGCAAAGGTGTAATTTATTTTCAGCAAAAACTTATGCAATCGTTGCACCTAGCAAATCCCCCTCATATGCAGTTTGTCTGCAATATAGCCGAATGCTTAGAAGACCACTGAACATTCTTGTCATCCTACTCCAGGCAGTTATAAAATCCTGGCACTTTGAAAATGAAAATAAAAAACCTGACCGCTGATGCGTCTTGCATTTCATCCTACAGCTGAAATGTGTATTTCCCCCTGCACATGGCTAGCTATTAGTTTCTGCAGAGGACTGATTATTGTAATTAAGTCTCACTAAGTATCTCATTATGAAGTAATATATCACTAACAAGATCCACTGCAGTTATGCATGAAAGTGACATGCGGAAGTGCACAGTTTTAACATTATGCTTTCATAAAAAGGAGAGCTACACAAATATGAAATTAGTAACTCATTTATTGAATATATATGCAATGATACCAATAAAAAAAATACTGCAAACTACAACTTTGGAAGTAAAGCCAATATAACAGGAACAAAATATACATAACATTGCAGATAGGAATGTGTTTACCCTCTTTATACATTCCTGGTCTTTACATCTGATGTAAATTGGTGCTAAAGCTGGTCTAATCTGAGTGCTTTTCAATAAGCAACAGTCCTCCAGAATCCTTTCAGGGTTGAGATGTGTCTGCTGACTACTGAGTGTTCGTACATATGCATACATAGAAACTGCTTCAGCAAGTATATATAAATCAAGAGCTGTGCTCTGTTAACCGCCATCATTACTATGGTGGAATCTGTTTATAGTGAAATGGAAGGAGAGTTACTATTTGTTGCAATATACTTTCAGTCCTCTAATAGTTAAGTTTCGCTGTGCTGATAATGAAGGTTAATTCCACTAGCATATTGGTTCAATTTTACTAATCTTCTTGGATTATAGCAATTATCACATCAGATAAGTGTGACATTTCAAGGGGTGGGGTGGGGTGGGGTGGGAATATCATCTCCTCTGCTATAAGAAGTTACCCCTTCCTATATGGAACAACAGTAAGAAGCAATTCCCGGCTGCTGGTCTTGCTACAGCTGCTGTCCACTAGAACAGTGGTTCTCAACTGGGGGTTGGTGTACCCCCCTGGGGGTAAACAGAGGTCTTTTAGGGAGTACTCATCTAGATATTTGCCTAGTTTTACAGTAGGCTATATAAAAGCACTAGCAAAGTTACAAACTAAAATTTCAGACAGACTTGTTTATACTGCTCTATATACTTTAAATTAAATGGGATATAAATATTGTACTTATTTTATGGTAAATTATTTTATGGTAAAAATGAGAAAGCAAGCAATTTTTCAGTAACAGTGTGCTGTGACACTTTTTTGTATTTTTATGTCTGATTTTTAAGCACGTAGTTTTTAAGGGAGGTGAAACTTAGGGTATGCAAGACAAATCAGCCTCCTGAAAAGGGTACACTAGTCTGGAAAGGTTGAGAACCACTGTACTAGAAGGTGAGACTTGGGTCCAAATTCAGCAAAGCTGGCACATGGAGGTGTAATTATGCCTCCCTAAACCAGCAAAGTCCTTGTACGCAAGGGAGATTCATCTTTGTGGAGTGTAAGTGTTGTATTCACTGCTGCCCTCCATGGGTGTTGGCAGGTGGAATTCCCACCAGGGCTCTAGGAACAGGTTCTCCTGTTGGCAAACACCTGCTGAATGAGTGAACCCTTTAACCACAATGCCCATGTCCCCTTTCCAGCCAGTGCCACCTACACTGGTGCTAGGCTGACCCTTTGTAGCTTCCCTCACAAATAAATGTGTGGCCACTTTGTGCCACCACCTGGAACCTCTTCAAACATGTATAAACCAGAGTCTCAGGGAATTTTGCCAATAGCCTTCCTCCCCCAGCTCCCAGTACCCTACAACTGCTCAGGTAGACAGGTCCTGCCAGCTCTCCCTGGGAAAAGAGCAGTAGAAGGGATTTTTTTAAAGGCAAGCCCTTTGCTGATATAAGGAAACTATTTAATATATTATTTTGTGGAAAAAATCTCCCATTATAGGTGGGTTCCATGAGTCTCTTGAACAGAGACACACTGCTCTTGTGGGCAAGAAATGCCAAAAAGACCTAAAGTAACTAAATTCAGGGAAATCAGTTTCATAAGACGAGTTTTCTTAAATTCGAGATTGTTTTCTGATCGTGAGATGAAAACAAAAGCTGTATTTGAAAAAAAAATGCCAGGAACAAATAAACCTTATTCATTTAACTAGTTAATTTAAACAAATCTATTTTACCTATAAAGCACATTCATTACTTCTAACCTCTGGGAAGGCAGTAAATGCTGCAGAATAATCTTCAATATATGCTTGCAAAGATTACATTGCTTTACAAAAAAAAGACAAACTGTCCAAAATTTCAAGCTAAAATGCACATAAAAAGACAGTAATGGCAGTATTTCGTCTTTAAAAAATGATGTAAATGTTGTATACCTATCATACATTTTCATGCTTATTAAAACTACAGCTAAGGACATAGGAGATGTACAGTAAATACACTGCTGAGGTACATTTCTTCTAAATATTAACACCATGACAGAATTACTCCTCAGCAAGTGATACTACTTGGGAACATATAAATACAATTTTTACATTGTAAGGCACTTTTACCCAGCATACATGACAAGATGAAGTAAATTAGAACATGAATTTGAGGCTTGTAACAAAAACCGCTTTCGGTATTGACTTTTAGTTTCCATGAGTTCTGAATTAATGATGGTTTAGTCAGCCTCAACGGGTAGCCAGCCACTTGCTCTTCTGCTACTCAAAGGTAAAGTATTGTCATGGTTGCTAGTGGCATGCGGAGAGATAAATGATTTTACCCATAATGAATTATTAGACTATTAAATCCAGCAATCGACACAATGTGAATTAGAACTTAGTGAAAAATACAATGATTATATTGGCAAATCTACCCCATTGTACCTTTCATCCTTCCTTAACCAAAAATACAGTAGTTGCAAACAATAAAGTGCCTTTATTCCATGGGAAGGCCATGTTTGAGGCACGCAACCTAGAACCTAATCTAGGCAGGGTGACAGACATTTTGCACTCTGAAACTGTTCTGCGTAGCCGAAAAATGTTCATATTCTAGAAAAAAGCAAACACCTTGGTAAACAATCTCAATCAATCGGTCATTGCAATTCAAGTCATGCCTTTAATTTTGAAAGTTACAAATACAAAATAAGAATGATCAATGGCATGTTTAGAGCAGTAACTGAATATTTTCTGTACACAGTAATATTTCTACTAAAACTGCATTTTCCCCCAAAACAGATTGAATTCTAACATGGTAAAGTGTTAGAAATTTAATATACAACAGTTGAGTCCCTTGAGACATTAAAGAAACACATGAAAAGACAATGACATGTTAAATCTTTTAAAAATACAAGTAAAAAAGGCTACAGAAACTTGTTACAAATGAACTGCTTCTTAATATCAACTGCAGATGGAACCTTTGCTGTTTTTAGTCAAATTGTCAGAGTATCTTGCTTACTGCTTTACTTCAAATCTAAATGGTTTATTGGGTATTCAGAAAGAGTCAGAACCCTTCCTAAGCAATGAGATGCCCGGAAGCATTAGAAAAGACTTAGTTATTAAGTTAAGTTTTTGGTTTTATTTTAAATGAATCGGCTAATGTGCTTCAATCGGACCAGTAGAAGAAGCTATTTATCAGCAACTAGACATGCCAGAGCTGTATGAAAAAAGTTAGGGAACTGAGCTGTTAGATTTGGTATAATCTAAACCTGATTATTCTCTAATGGAACGTTGACCTCTAGGTATATGAAATGCCATGGCATGATTGTTGATTTGACAAGAAAAATTAATCAAATGCTAAAAGCATTAAGAATGGCAAGAAGATTTTCTTATATAGTGGTCACAAGATTCAAAATAAATACTGATTCCCCCTTCCCCCCCACAAAAAGTTGATTCCTTCTCCTTACAGCACGTGGGACCTGTATATGTATTTTGGATAAAACATGAAGTGTTCCACGCAACACAGAGCACTTGAGGTATGGATGTCAGATAAGGTGGCTAAATTCCATAGAAGTTAAAGTAGTAACTCTTCGAAATCTAAAGACGTTGGGTTGCAGCTTCCAAAAGTTAGTTTGAGTCACACTTAGTGAGAGGTTCTTGGTACGTTAGGAATATAGAGGTGGACTGTTGGGGAAAGAACAAACTACAGCCCTTTGGCATGAGTACTGAAGCTTGCAGCTTGTAACCAACAGCTGCTCAAGTAAATCTCCAGCAAGGAATGCTGGGCAGTAGGAACAATCACAACAGGAACAAACTGAAAGGTTCAAGCATGCTTCTGCGTGCACTGAGTTCTTTTTCTACTGTGTGCTTTGCAAGCAAAAACAGAGAGCGATTTCCCCCACACACACATTTATCCTCCATATTTTGTATATAAAGAAAATGCAAAACTCATGAGTTACCAGCTTGTTACCACCATGGACTTGTCTGTCCATGTTGTGAATTAATCTTACTAAGACTTTCCCTTGGTGCATGAATCCACTAAACAACTTACACATTCCAAATCTTAGATTTTTATTCAGTCCAGAAATATAGAGCTTACTTCATTTCAATGTCTGCCTTAACTTTTGACACTGTACATATTACATATCATTTATATAGTGTTTCAATTTTTTCCAGACACTGCAGACTACAAACTACATAATATTGACATGTAAAACTCTGCCACTTATTGAAGGCTCACACACATGAACGTTTCAGGCAGTTCAATGAAATTTCTAACAGAATCGGGCCGTAAAAAGTTACTAACCCTTTTCTGATCTTAGAAAACAATTAAAAAGTATTAGTAGTTATGGATGTCTTATTCATTCCCAGTTCTCTAACTCTGTCCCTTGAACCTGTTTAAAAAACGATGAAAACAATAGTAAATTTAAAATCATATAAAGAGAAGAGCATCTAACAGATCTGACATTACATCTACATTTATCGACAGACGTGAGGCCTCCCTAATATTATAAAATCAGCTGAAGTTTAAAAAAAGTTCCCCATTCTTCTGCAGTACACCAATAAAAAGAACTTATCTGCATATACTAGATTTAAACATTTTACTGTGATTAACTACATCAAATGAATGTTGTGTTTCTCAGTCTCAGTAACAGAGCTGCCAGGAGTAACTTCCATACCTAGTTTCCATTGAGTTGTTGCTGAGGAATGCTACTATGGTCAGAGCCTGATTTCCCACGGCTTTTGCTTTCTCTTTCTTCATCCTCTTCATCCCTTTCATCGTTCCCACTATGGTTTTTACAATAGAGTCTAAGACAATAAAAAACAATGGAGGATTTACCAGGAAACAAGTAACAGATCTATATTTTAGAACATTCTGGGCTCTCTCCACTAGCGAAGAGGCTCATTTTAAAATTGTGTTGAATTAATGTACAAGGCACCTGTCAGACATCTGACATTAGAAATAAATATTAGCTAGCCTGACTAGATCACTGGCTAGAACCACGGGCTCCTGTTACAGGGGCAAACCCAAGATCACTAGCCAAACAAAAAAGGGAACAATTCCCAACTGACAAAAGATAACAAAGAAGGGTTAAACACAAAAACAAAGACAGAAGCCCCCAAAACGGTCAGCGGTACCCATGCCTGTAAAAGCCACTGCCTCATGTCCTAAAAAGCAACCAGGGAGGAACACCAGCAGACTCCTTCTGAGAGTTCCACCTCCAAGAACCTCAGACTGAGAAAGCTCTATTAACCTGTGCCAACCAACTGTAACAGCTGGGCAGAGAGAAAGATGTAGTTCATCATAGGATCTGCTAATGCTAACAAAGCCTATTTACTCTCTTTTTCCTAAAAAGTAACCACTACCTATTACACTAGCAAGCTTGTTCCAATATAGATAAGGCTGTGACAGCATTTTCATTACTTTCAATGGCTTACACCTTGCCTGTGAAAACTGACTGAGATGTACCAAAGCATAAGCCTGGGACAATTAAAAAAAACCAAAAACTTTTAAAATAAAAAATCAGTTGGATTTTGTCTAAAATGCAATATGAACGGTCTAGGTGTTTAATGATTGCATATGTAAAGACCTACTTTCTCTCAGCTCTACTGTAAGAGAATGACCAGGGTCAGTAGTACCAGTGAGTTCGAAGAAGTTTTGTGATAGATTTTATGTCTAAAATCTACATGATAAAATGGATCAGAAGCTCTGTTCTCATGAACATTTACATAACAAAAACAAAGACACTCCGAGGGAGAATGGGCGCTCATAAAAACAAACAAACAAAACAAAAAAAGCAAAAAAACACCCTGATTTTGTGTCTGTCAATTTGTAAATCAATTTCATTTTTTCATGGCTCTTAAGCTATCAATCGGAAACCAATACATAAGTTGAAATAAGCAGAGGAAAGCCAGGCTCCAGTGCAATCTTTATAGACTAGCACAGGCAAAAAATTTTTTAAAACCGATTAATTCTAGTTCTCAAGAAGCAGGATGGCTATCACTGCTCATAGAATGCCCCCTTGTGGCCAAAATGAGATGCAATCTGTAAACTTTCATTGCAGTAGGTTTGGGTAGCAACTGGGAAAGGAGGTTGGAACAGTACAGAAATAGGAAAAAAAGATATACTCTCTTAGGGATAACTGAAGTAACATGGCAGGAGTTTACCTGTGACTTCAGCAATTTGAGTTACAGATTTCACTAACTGGAGAAAAAAGATATTTTTGTTTCTTTTTTATTTTTAAAATATTTAACGTATTTTTAAGTGGGTATATGGAAGTTCTGAATTAAGTTAGGATCACTAAAAATATTTTGTAAATATTTGAAAGTTATTTTGAAAATAATTATATGACAGTTATTTTCATTTGCACAATATTTTTCATGTTTTATAATAAACTTAACAGAAACACTTCCACTTTTGCATATGTATTTATCCTCATCTGACTTGGTAAAATGAGCTTAAATAGCTTCAGGTTAAAGAGAAAAAATATGAAGTCAGTCCAGTGGTCTAGTGTCAATGATCTACAATGCCACGAAAAGCCATGGTGTGTCAATTAGTGGTCTGGCTCTATTGCTCCCTGAGTTATTAAGGGCTAAGAGCATTCTGACAACAGTATGCTGAACCTAATTGGAGAGGAGCAGAGCAGTCAAATAGCAAGACCTTTGGCCAATCAAGGATGGCTGTTGACAGGAGCACCCATCCAATTCTCCTAATTTGTTTGACAGTGACGATGCAGGGCCTTGGAACAAAAGGAAACGGAAATTAAAGTGGGAAGAATACAAAGAGATTCTCCGAGCTCTGTGCAGAGAAATTTATTTTTGCCACTGTGTTGTAGGATAGGATTGCTTTAAAAAAGTTCTAAACTTTCCCTACATTTATAACAGAACTTGATTTAATTTATTTTTCTATGACACTCAACTTGAACAAGATGTTTGAAGTAACAAAACTGATTGCACAAGCTTTTACCTAACTAGCTTTTGAACTGCAATAGTCACCTTATCTGAACTTCCAAAAACGTGCGATAGTTTTGCCTAGTGCCCGCAATGCAGCTGAGTGATATGTTAATCAGCATTATTGCATGATCAGAATGTTTTATCTGAATAAAAAGCAATTCTTAAAGTTCTCTCAGGGTACGTCTATACTACCCGCCACATTGGCGGGTAGTGTTCGATGCATCGGGGATCGATTTATCACGTATAGTCTGGACGCGATAAATCAATCCGCGAATCGACGCCCGTACTCCACCTCGGCAGAAGAAGTAAGCGGAGTCGACGGAGGAGCCGCGGCAGTTGACTCGCCGCTGTGAGGACGGCCAGGTAAGTCGAACTAAGATACTTCGAGTTCAGCGACGCGAAAAGCGTCGCTGAAGTTGCGTATCTTAGTTCGAACCCCCCCACTAGTGTAGCCCGGGCCTCAGAGGAGATTAGAAAAAATTGTTATTACAGAATTAACTGCTAGAGTTCTTACTTGTAAATTCCTCGTGACATATTCTCAATGTATTTAGCTTTGTCTTGTACTCCACAGTGGTAATGGTAAGTCTTGATACAGGCTTTAATTTCACATCCAATAGTAGCCCCCGGCTGACTGCAAAGAGTGCATTTCTGTTGAGGGGGGGAAAGACAGTACTCTAAGTTGTGGTGTTAATCCATTTAATGTCTTGTCGCTTAATGCTCACTTTGATGTCCCCAAATTTTAGTCATAAACATGATGAAGTAATTTTTCTTGTAGCACAAACTTATCTTAATATATAGTAAGCCAGAAACAGTTTTAAATCTGCATCAATTAATATATATGAACAACAGAATACTGTTTTGCCTGTCTGCTGCAAAAATAAGTAACGGCAAGATTTGCACACATAAGTTCTATTTTGTTGCTCTTGTTGAAGTTGAAGCTAGCTTGTCCAAGTACCAAAACTCATTGAATATGAATTGTGTTTTAGGCAATGATAAAGTATTATATTTTTTCAGATGGTAATGGAGTTCCATATGTTACTGAATTCTAATGTTCATGAAACAGTGTGCCATATTTTACTTATAAAACATACCTGAGTGCCTGTCACAAACTCTGGGGCCCTTATATGCTTTAATTTTCACACTAAAATGTCATAACATGCTGCTCAGACCATTCAAAAATAAATGTGAACCAACAGACATAAGATGATGACAAAACACCTCCCAAGCAAGCATCCTCATCATCATGAAAAGTCCCTCCAAGCTTCAGCCTAGCTCATGTCATGGGAGAAAAGATGAGCCTTGCAGAGGCCCAAGTGATTAGCAAATCTGGCCCTGGACCGACCAAGGGGATGTGAATTTGAATCCAGGAGCCGTGCTAGTAACTGAAGACTTTAATAAGGTAATATATTTGGGGCCTTTGAGACCCCAAAACAAGTATTTAAAAGATGCAATTCACCAGAGATATGCATGGGATTCATCTTCCTTTAACTGGCAATACAGAGATTCAGTGTCCTTTTAAAGTGTGTTGAGAATGAACTAGCCATCATTTAAAAAAACAGAACAAGTTTGAAATAAGTCAATAATTACACAAATTGACTCCCATCACCTATTTAGCAATTTCATGCCATACAGATTCTGCGGTATGGAAAACAAACTGTCAATTCCTTCCTTTCTATTATGGTCCCCAAAGGGCCAACATACTGCATTCACAAAGTACGCTGTAGTTAAAAAAAACCACAGTAATTGTTGAGACACTTTATATCCTGATACCTAGTAGTGACAATATATTTAAATTGTTTTCTAAAAAATTAAGTGAAAAGATTTGTTCAGATAAGGAAGAGAAAGAGAGAATTGCAATATACTCCCAACAGAAATCACTGAAGCATTCCTTATAAACCCAAAGACACATACCATTCTTTTTCCTCTCTTGATCTCCTGAAGTACAGTTTTAATATCAAAATCACCAAACTCTGCCCTTGATGTTGTTGTTAGCTGGACAGTGCCAGAAGAGAACAACTGTAAAGCAAACAAATGCACAATAACGTTAGGAGGTTACAGATATGTGGCCATAAGAAGATTAAGGAGCAGGAACAACAGAAGGGGATGCACCGTACTCAATTATCTGCTGGTGAACTGTGCTTTGCCAATGAACTAGAAAAAAATTGCAGATTAAGCATATCAGTAATTTGGATCTTCCTTCCAATGCCCACTTGATTGCTTCAATTATGTGATTGCATTTCAGAGGATTTTTTTTTGAATGACAAAGCAGTAGTTAAAGGATGATTATGATAATGGAATATACGAAGCATTAAATGAGTACCGCAGTCAATTAAGACACTGAAGACATGCTTTTGTTCTGATAAGGATATTTCATCTCCACTCGCTGCCCCACCTAAATAATTCATCTTACTCACACTGCCAATACCAATGCCCCTGGAAAGCCAGAAATGGTGACAATGGGACATTTCCAAGTAGTCGCAAACCTCATATGTTTCCATTACCTGCAGCTTTTAGTGGCTGAATGCATTTCCTTTTACAGTTAGGCCAACATCGCTCCCAAGACTTAACTATATAGTATATGCAGTAAAAGCTCTTGAAGGACTTCAGCTAATTTGGACATTCAAACAGAGGTGGAGAAGAGATCACGCAAAAGTCCAGCTCAACTTTCAGATAGCAGGTAAGCAGAAAAGAATTACCCTATCTCAATTGGATATGTGCCTCTATTTGTAGGATAGGAAAGAATCTTTTTGCAGGTACTGGGATAGCGGGCTCAGGCCCATCCAAAACTAAAGACCAGCCCCCTCAACCAAGGGGGAGGAACCACCAAATCCTGGCCACAACTGAATTTGGGGGACAACAAATGCAAAAACAGGAACAGGAGTGGGGGTTGAAGGTTCATAATCAGTTTTGGATGGGGACACTGACCAGAGAACCCTGGGCACTGCCCACTGCTCCTCAAAGTCCAAGGAATCACTCGACACCACCAGGAGGAACTCTCATAGACTTTAAGATCCAAAGGGGTCATTGTGATCATCCAGTCTGACCTCCTTCAAGTTGCAAGCCATAGGACCTCACCCACCAACTCTTGTAATAGACCCCTAACTTCTGGCTGAGTTACTGAAGTCCTCAAATACTGCAAGGTACAGAGAATTCACCATTTTCACTAGCTTGAATCTGCAAGTGACCCATGCTGCAGAGTAAGGCAGAACTCTGCCCAGGTATGTGATACAACAAGGAATTGGAAACAGATCACACCGTTGCATAGCATCCTCCTTCAAGCAAGCTTCCTCCTCCAGGTCTGGTGGATGACCACCTTGGCCAGCGCCAGGAGCAGGTTGGCAAAGTCTCGTGACTCTGTGGGGCCCTGGATAGGATGCTTGTATATAACCAGAACCTCAACAGGAGGTTACAGAGGAGCCACAAGAGGGGCTGCAGTCTGACGCACTCTACGTAGATTTGCGCCAGGTGTCCCTCTTGCCGCAGAAGGGACTCTATAAACCACACCAACTACATACCCGTGCTCACAGCACCATGAAAGAGCCATCAAGTCTCATATCTTAGGGGTGCTGTGAGACCAGACTAGAGTACAAGCTGGCCACCGGAGTTCCCCTCAACTCCACAGGTTGCAGCAGGTCCCACCACTTGGTGTCAGGGCAGGACACGAGGGCGAAGAAGTGGGTGGTACAGAGCATGTAGAGATGTTCATGTGATACAATCTGGAGATGGACCAGCTGGATGGTGTCCAGCTGAGTCAGGTGGTGTATCACAGGCATCTGTGGGTTGCAGGGTAGGGGCCTGATGACAAGCTCTAGAGGTCCAGGTGTGAAGGGTGTGGAGCACTCTCTGCAGGATCTGCCCAAGAAAAGTGAGAGAAGTGGGGGTGGGGGGCAAGGCTGCACTCACCTCCTTGAGCACACAACAGGGTATGCACAGGGAGGGCAACCCCATATGCTCACCAAGCACCACAGGCTATACTCATTTCCTCCGACTAGCCCAGGTGGTCTCAGATTCTGGTGACAGCAGCCAAGACCAGTCTCTGGTGCATCAAGGAGGACTCCAACACCCTTACATGAAGATTAAGGTCATGTACCAGGAGTTCAAAAGCCAGGAGGTATTCCCGCTCAGTAGCTGCTACAGACCTGGTCGCTGAAACTAGCTTCCGGGTCCTGTGGAGGTCCTGGTAAAAGGCAACATCTCAGAGAGGTCTCAGGGGAGACCTCTTGGGAGGTAAGGCGGTCTTAATGTTTTTAAGGCAGCAGAATGGGATGCAGCATGATTATATTCTATTCCTACCTCTGCCACGAACTATGTGACTTTGGGCAAGTCACTTCATTTCTATCTGCCTCTGTTCCCCATCTGTGAAATTGGGGATAAAACAGAGGGATAAGAGGCTCAGATTCTATGGCTAGTGATGGATGCCACAAAACTACATAGATCAGAGGTTGTAAATAGATGGACTGCAGGCCAAATTTGGATCAGACGTTTCTGAACAGACCGCAAAATCTTTGTATTTATTTATCATTATTGGGGTGTGAAAAATGTTTCTCTGGAGTCTGGACCTTGACCAAGAAATCTGGACCTTGACAAAAAACAATTGACGACCCCTGCCAATCTCCTATCCCAAACTGTATTGTCTAATATTACTGTATGCTATTAAACAGCTGTTTTCACCCAGAGATGAATGCATCAATTCCTTTAGGTGGTATTTTGTGATCCTTTTGCATGAAATGAGCTGTATTATGGAGATGCCAGTTTGGGCTCCAAATTTAAATGTGAGTTGAGTTTTGCACTTAAAGCACACATCTACTCGGTTATAAATGAATGGGAGCTCTATTAGAGCTCTGTTAGAATATCACTGTATTTTCAGTTTAATCTGCTTCTCAGCATTGGAGCTCTTCTTTCCCAAACTCATGCATACAATAGAGCAAAGAATACTCAAAAGCGACAAAAGGTGTGGCTCTCTGCTTAGTGAGGCTAGCCACATGGAGAAAATTATATAAAAAGATCTACCAGCTGCATTGGCTACTTATTCATTTCCAAGTACAACTCAAGGTGTGGACTTTGTTTTGTACAGCCCCACCTGGATCAAGGACATAGCCATATGAAAAATGGAATTCTCTGCTTATATTCTTCCAGAGCCACCGAGATCAGTTGATGCACATGAGTTAATAGTTCCCTAGATGTGATCATTTAGAAGCAGGGAGTTTCCAGTGGGGAGGCACTGACTCCCCATCTCTTTTGACACCACCTGAATCAACTGATCTTCAACACATTGTGCAAAGCTAATCCGTTTCTGCAGGCTTTTTTTTTGTGTGGGGGGAGGAAGGGGGAGGCCTGGGGCCAGAGGGCATTAGTGGTATTTTATTTTGGGGTGTAATCTTTTAGTTAAAATTATTTAATGTTATTGGAGTTATATTTTTGTTTTTTAAACACTGTACATACACGCACCTAGGTACAATGGGATTATTTTTATTAAGATGAGTCTACCTGAGCTAATTCCTCCATCTCTAAACATAGTCAACATAGTCATTATCAACAGTGCCTCTGGTGAAAATAAATGAACTGCTCAGCTCACAACACTTTAGTCGTTGGAGAGATTACTGGAAGCACAGGCTGTATTAATACGTAACTACATGTTAGGGCACTGTACTAACAATGCATCATATGGCACGGCAGTTCAGAAAAATTAAAACCCCACACGAACCCAAATATTCTACTTACCATACACTTATAGTGTGCTGCTGCCTTTTTGGCATTAAATATATGAAGCTTTCCTCTAGCTTCATTTTCTTCTTCACCTGCATGACAGAATCCACATTTAGGTTTTGTATCACTGGGACTGCTTCTGTGGGGAGACCTGTCTCTCTGAAAGAAAAACATTTTACTAAAATATACTGCTGGGTTCCAAGTAAGGTAATAATTTAACAAGTCTCTGGCCACTAGCTGGAGACTCAAATGCTAGTTTAATTTCAAAGACAAACTTTCTTCTAAGAAGTTTAGCATATTTATATTTACTGCTTACATAGGAACTGCTTTCTATTTCATCTGTGCCATGTGAGGATGTAGATCTAGTGTCTTCTGACTGCCCTTTGAGATTTGTTTTTCTTGGCTTTCCCTTACGACCCCTCTTTTTTCCTTTGGGAGGTGAAGGCTCCAATTCGTGTTCATTGACACCTTCTTCTAAATCTGCTTAGAAATTAGAAAACAACATCAAGTAAATCTCAAAAATGAAAACTGTTTTACAAAAAATTATATAGGAAAAATAAATGTTTTTTACTATTTTTCTTGCCCATGTTTATAAAAATTTATTATTTCCAATTAAAATTTTGTTTTACAATCAACCATCTACCATTTTATATATATATATATATATATATATATATATATATATATATACTA